GAACTCTCCATTCTTAGTTCTTTAATGCCTTGTCGTCTTCCTATAGAATTTTTTGAGTACGCGTGCGATATCTTCTGCACTTTTATGCAAAGTGCATGAAACCGATGCTTCTTTCCATTCAAATATAAAGAACTTTTTTAAACTTTCATCAGTTATCTTCTTCTTTTGAACTTAAGTCCTAAGAGATAATCATCCATTGACGTGGGGCGGCAAATCTAAATTATGGCAGTCAACAGGAGGACAAAATTTTAATAAAAACTGTATGCAGCGACAGCGGAACCAGAGCGGTATAAAAATGTGGCTATCGAACTATCTCAATTTCATTCTAGAACACAGCAAAATTAACCACAGGGAGCGTTGTAGCACCAGCGGAGTTTAGGACTCCTGGTTGTGGCTGTTCTCCCACCACGACGGTAATTCTATTCTATCTGAAAGCATGCCGCCCAGCACTCTTCTATCACGCAAACTCGTGGTTGGAAATCAGGGCAGTAAATAAGCCGGCAGCATTGTGTTATCCCGACCGCGCCAACTCGACAGGGAACCGCGCACTCCGCTTCCGCCACGTGTTATTGTGTCATTTATCTCAATTCCATTCTAAATTTTCACTTTCTATAACTCTGATATTAAACGACAACTGAACAAGTGTTAAAGTTTCAAAAAGAGCAATATACAACATTGAAATTCCCCATACAAACTCGTGAAATTTGAAATAGCAAAGAATTCTCATCTAAGATTAAGATTGAACATCAGATAATTACACGATGGAAGCATTAATCAACAGAATATTTAGATAAAGAAAAGACTAGCAAAAATTTATAAAACAAAAGGGATCTGGTGTGAAAAAAACTTGTGCGGACAAAAAAATTACGTGAGGTTAGAAACTGCAGAACATGAAAATTTACGTTGAATTTAAATTATACAGCAAAGAAAATTACTGAAGCTAAAATTGTGTGATAGGGAAAAATCGTATGAGGTGAAAAATAGCAAAGCTAACAAAATTACATGAGTTTAATATTTTATGTCCGACTTATTGTTAATTTTTAAAAGTGAAGTTATTGAGCTACATTGTGGGCCATCGTTTTATATTCTCTCAAACAAACACACAAAAAAAAACATAGCAGATAATCTGGAGGTTCAAAATGGCGTTGGACGAATGCGCCGTTCAAAAAAAAATGCATCAAAAATATGTCTCCCAGAAATGTGATCAATCCTATCAAGATGGCTGCTGCAGAACAAAGAATTGAAGTTAAATTATGCCACACTTTATGAACGATTCAAACAAAGATTTTACATTATGTTAAATTACGCCACACTTTATCAACGATTCAAACAAACGATTTACATTATGTTAAATAATACCATACTTGATCAACAATTCAAACAAAGAATTTACATTATGTTAAATGATTCCACACTTGATCGAAGTGATTAGTTACTTAAACCATTAGCTTTGGGAGTTTATACTTGATTGTCCCCAGCTTATTCCAGACAAAACACATGCGAAATAAACACAAAATGCATGCGGTGTTGCGAGAAAAATGTCTCGGTGATGTGGTGATGCTATGATGTTAATAATTGTCTAAGGGAAGAAATCTTTTAATCCGCATACCTCAGTCCACGATGTTATGAATTCTACCGCACTTTCAGGGTCCATTTCCCAGAGTGGGACAACGTTAGGTTAATTTTAACTTCCGTAAATGAACTATTAGGAATTTTGTGTGAAGAATTACTAAGTGTTATAATATAACACTCAAGTATAGGCATCCAGAAATCTTATTAATAATTTGATAAACAAAGGATGAGTCCTGACTAAATGAATTTGGTGAAATCTCCTGCAAGTACTTTATCTGGAGAATCTGATGACTGTTAAGTTGTGTTCGAACCAGTATACGGTTAAAATCCTAACATGAACTGTGAATTTACAAAAAATAAAACAAATTTACACCACGTGTTAGCGTCTATCGAAAATTCGCATATTTCCGCTTGGAAAAACCGTAAGAATTAGCTACGCGTGTTGAGGAAACTGTGGTGTCGTAGTCGTTACGATTCATTGCCGTTAAACAAAGGGATTCCTATTTTTCTGGCTACCAAACCAACTAAACTTAACGCAGCTTACTCATTAGATTGTTTCACTCACACCAAACAAACCACGCTTTAGCTATCAAATCAACTTCTACCAACCTTCTCAACAGAAATTCCCTAGGAGAACTATCCACTACCAGAAAAGAACTAAACGTGCACATGGTTGCCTATGTCTAACTATATTCTTGATTAATTTTTTTTTTTTCAACACGAAATTGTAATTCAAATCTCATCCCCATAACGTAGACAACAAGAAAAGGGAGAAGGAAGAAATGGCGAAACAAAGAATGCAATTAACCGGAAAAGGACGTAAGAAACCAGCTGCAAAGCTGCAACGGGGAAGGAAAAAGTGAAGCAAACATCGTACTGGAACCCAAGGTTAAATTATAGGCAAAAATGCAAAGAAAGACAAGAGCGAATAAGAAATGAAGAAGAAAATAGGTTAAGACAAGTAAAAACGGTCAAAGAAGTTTGGAAGTACTTAAACCAAGATTGAAAAAAAAAGGAAAGAATGCGTCAGAAGAAATTAGCAAGCCAGTATGGAAAGACTACTTTATGAAGCAGCTAAGCGGAAGTATAAATGTAGAAAAGACGCAGAAGGAAGATACAGAAACACAAAAAACACAAAAAAATGTTCATAAAGAAGGAAGAGGTATTATGATTATGAAAGATTAAGAACCTGAAAATGGGGAGGGACGGAATACAGAATAAAGCCTTGAAGTATGGGTCGGAAAGAATGACAGAAAGACTGGTAGAGATAATGAATGAGGTACACGTACCAGGAAAAGTTCTACGGCAATGGAAGGAGGAGGTGGTTACACCTAGGAAAAGAGATGAGGTGTAGTCCCTTGCTTATGCGGATAATTAGGTAATTATCTCAAGGAATGAAAGGGGGATGAAAGAATAGTTAGAATGAAATATGAGAAGGAAGAAAATAGAAGTGAACGTAGGGAAAAAATATAAAGAAGTAGAATGGTTGTGGGAAGGGAAGGGAAAGAAGTTGAATAGGGAATGAATTTAAGTACCTGGAAGTTCGGTTCAACCAGAGGTTTACATTATTTAAGGTACTAAGGATACTCTGGGAAATAGGGGACAGCAAATTTGGGTAGAAGGAGGATGATGATATTTAATATTTTGGAAAGTATATTAAGTAGTGTACGGTGTGGAGGCCTGGGGATTTGATAATGAATCTGAGGAGACTCCAAGGTACATAGTAAAGGAGGAATTACAAAGGGAAAACTTGAGGGTGATAGTAGGAAAGAGCAGCCAGGTATGAGGACAAGATGGATGAAATAGAAGAATGTAAGATATTGCTAGAGTGTCGGAAGGAGAAAAAGACCGAAATACAGAAAGGTGTATGGAAAGTTAGAGGGAAATATTGTGAGTGAAAGCGGCAAATGCATGAAAGTAGTAAAAAATGTGTACCTGAGACAATCATTTTATTTGAGCCCTACTTGTTTTTGCCTATTCGCCAATTTTTGATCATGAGTATTAATTTTATTCTAAAATCTGAATTTTCTATATCCCAAAGCATATGTCACATTTAATATTTCCGGTACTAAGTATAAAGAAAGATAATCCAACCCGAGTTTTGGATAAAAGGGTCGGACACAAATCTATTTTTCTCCGTAAACCATCAAAGAAAAAATTTTATTGCACAGCTAAGTATGTAGGTAGATGTTAAAATAATTAAAATACCCATTTAGAGACCCCGACAAAAGTTGTCTCCAGCTTTTCTAGGAAAAGCTTTGATGTGTTAAATATACCAAGCCCTTCTACTACTTTCTTTTCGAGCTCACTTCCTATATCAATTAGTTCATGTTGGGTTTTCGTAAAGTGAAGGTCAAAAGTGCTAAAGTGTTTTAAAAATCGTTTATCATCTAGTGTTTATATCATTTATTAAAATTCCCAAACCCAAATCGTCTTTAAAGGACAAATTAAGGGAATGGACGAAAAACAAAGGCGTTTTTCAAATAGAAAACGCCGAACTTCTGTAAAACTGTGGAAAATTGTAAGTACAAATTATTAATGTAGCACAATTTAAACGAAAAAACTACTTGTGAAATTAATTTCATTTATTCTAGCAATATTATATCAATTTTTCAAAAATTGATCGCCTGTTCAGATGCAATGGTCAATAGCTGGGAATAATAATCGAGGACTGCCCGAAAAAGACATTCGGGAGATTCAGGTGTGGAATTGAGGAGGGTGAAAATAGATTCTGGATGGATGAAGATGATAGGGTGTGTAGGTTTGTAGAAAGAGTGCACAAAGTTGAAAAAGGGAGAGGAAAGTACAAAGAAAATTTTGAGTGAAAATGGTTTAGGTATAAGTTGGATGAAAGAGGTACGGAGGGCTAGGAGAAGAAAAATGAGGAGAAAAAAAAACTTTAATACGACATTATTCGGAAAAGGGTATTCAGAACATGAACACTTATATGAAAGTTAAACTGACGTCGTATGTGTTTATGCACCTTTAATAAGCAATTTGCCAAAACATTCTTAAAGCTCGACAAAGACGTCTGTGGTGGTCGGAAAAGCTCCGAATAAAAATTTTAACGCCTCGAAATCCGCACGCTTTTCTCTAAAAGCGCCCTGATTATACATCTCCACATTATTTCGTCCGGTCAGTTCCACCGGACCCACGCGTGCCACCTCATTTGCGTCAGATTCGAGGAGGACCGCAACAAATAGACGACGTGTTAATGAGCGTCCCTTCGGCCCTCCTTCGCGTCGTCGTCATAATTTGCCGGCACATGCTTGTTTGTTGTTGCTCCGCTTTTCCGTGACAAACAAGCATTTTAAAGTCGGGCCGACGATGCGAACAAGAAGTAAATGTCAGTTACGCAGGCGCTTCAATCATGCATCGTGGTCGCGGCGTCGTCGACGTCGTCGGCGTCGCACCAGTCGGTATGTGGCTTCAGCCTGCACCCGACGGCAGGTCCAATGGGTGAAAAACGCGCGCGCTTTCGGTCCATCGTGGTTCTGGCAACAGTGGTCGTCGCGGTGACTGCCGATTATCTAGGTGAGGATTAGGCTTAACGCGGCTGCACCCGTTTTATTGGAGGCGTTTTATGGCCGGCGTGCCATTATTTTAGTTTTATTATAGAAAATTCGAAAGTTGCGTGTGCAGTATTATGTAGCATAAAAGTGGGCGGATTGAGCACTGAACGAGATCTATAAAAATTCGGTCAAGGGTCGGATTTTATACTTTACATGGGCCTAAGCTGGAGGGCCATTGAATAAATAACTGGGTATTACTTCACCTTCTTAAGGTGCGATTATACGGGACGGGACCGGGCGAACTGCCCGAAACGCGATAATCGAGCGCACGGTCGTCCACTCCAAGTACGACATAAACATAATTAGAAAAAAAGTTATCAACCTTGTTGCTTATTTATCCTAATCATATTCTATCTCAGAAGCAGTAGTTTATTTTCTGTTCCTTGCCATGTATCTAAATACCTTGTCATAATTTATAAAATGTTAAAAAATATAAAAATAGGCCACTTAAAAGTAAAAACACACTAGGTATTTTTTTTATAGGACATTTGGTGGCAAACTCAAATCTTCAACTTATAATTTGACCAACCATATTCTGGTAATAAGATTGTCCCGGTTACTCAAATCACAGACCATATTTCCAATTTGGTTTCCCAAAAGAGTAGTCGAACTTTTTGATAGCAATGTCCGGTGTATTTTCGGATTTTTTTTCATTTTGCAGCAAAGCTAAAAACTCCTCCAATTTTATTAATTTCAACATGTAAAAATTTTTTGTATGTATTTTTTTCATTATTTGGAATTTACTAGAAGTTGTAGAAAAAATGCACAAGTCCGGAGGATATAAAATTTATGCTTAAAGCAGGTAACAAACGGGAAAAATGGTCTCTCAGCAACAATAACAAGCTTTTACTTCAAGTGTTTGTTTATATATTTATATATTATTATTCCCATCAAATCCCTATGACTCATTAAAAAAACCCACAAAACGCAGTTGTCGAGATTTTGTGGGCTCGAATTCCGATATCCTAAACTCGGCTTGGGGCTTGTTTGTGAACTAGATTGCATAGCCCGTCTCGGCTCTTTAGTAAGCACATGTTATAGGCTTGGCTCGGTCCGGTCCGAAGGTCCGATAATCTAGGCTCGGCTCGGATCTTATTCGTCAAGTGGATCTAAGCTGGCTCGTCCACCACACAGCTTATTGTATCAAAAATTAAACAATACAGCGGGTCATTTTTTAGGTCTTTTCAGTGACATATCTGGAACACAGTGACTGCAGTGAGGGAAATTTCTCAACTTCGATTATATTTTATGACTATAATTCAGATTTAGTAGGTTCGTGTATGCGTACAGAGTTCGGCCTGGTTGAGGCTCGTGAACAGCTCGGCCCGGCTCGAGCAAGACCCGTCCGCACTCAAGAGAGTCCGATTCGGTTCAGTTCAGCTTAATTAAACGGACGCTCAACCTGCTGGGTCAAGGGCAGAGCCGGTCCTGATATTATCGACTAACTTTTATATTTTACTATTATTATATAAGTTAACTTTGATATTTGTGAATTTTGCCGTCTCGTCATCGCCTGTCATAAACATCAATGATAAAATAAATGTCGTAAGCTTGTTCAGTGAGGTATCACTGTTTCAGAGGTGTCAGGCTTCTCCACCTCTTCTTTGCGAGCTTCCATAATCCCATAAACATTTAGCTAAACTAAAGTAGACACGACCAAAATTTCCTGGTTTGAAAGTTTTGACAATTTATATTATGTATATATTTATATTAATCTGATTCAGTGAGGAATCGAAAAAACTGACGAAATTTTAAATGTTGAGAGGAATTTAATAACATGTGTGTAATCTAGGAAAACGTTCTAACAGTTTCGATTTGATAAATGTGAAATTCGGTTTACAATTTGGTGTGAACGGCACGATTTAATTAACAAAGTTTTTCTCCCTCAAAATTTGATGACGTTATCTGCAATTTTGCTGAGTCAATTGAATTCAAACATCATAATATTTTTCCGATTTAAGCTAATATTTATATTTTCGCGATCCAAAAGTAATCAATCGCTTCTAAAAAATACATGGATTTAACAGGAACTAAAAATGAATAAAGTGAACGGTTTAAATAAATTTTTTCCTCGCTCAATGCAGTTTAAAGGGCTAATTTATTACTGAACAATAATAACTATAAATCTGCTTGTTTGAAATATTTAATTAATTCGATATTGTTATTGTAGAACTTTCCGCCCTGAAAAGATAACATCGAGCCTTTACTGTATTAAATTTAATTCCTGGTAACAATAACAAAACGCACATTGAAGAAATAAATTTGTAAATTTTTATTCCAAAGTCGAATCATAACACACCAATATTTTGCTCTGAAGCTGTCTGAAATTTTTTTTGTATGACGGCAGAAATAGCCCTTGCAGCAACTTTTCTTTGAAAATATATCGAAGAATAATATTATGATCGATTTCTGTTTTTGCTAGTGCTGTATAGTTTTTGTTCAGTCGTAAATTTAATTCGTGTTTGATCTCTCTTTTTTCTGAAAGTGGTGGCCTTTTAATCTTGCTTCTGGCTCTTGCTCTAATATTTTTTTATTGTTACAAGAATTATGCATGAAAAGTAGATATAGCGCCGTGGGTGTTTTATCGGATAAGCTTGTCCAGGTCCGCCAGCTATTCAAATTTTAAAATAAAGCGTTTATAATATAGTAGGTGCAGTTTACTTTTTAACTCTCAAACTGCAACAATAAAAAATCTAGTAAAAGCGTGAAAATTTGCAAGCTCGTTACTTCTTTTTATGCAGCGGCCGTTTTACGTCCTTAATTTGCATGTTAACTAGTCCCACCGGCATTCAGGAACAAGACTCCCTTATAAACAATCCCTAATAATTTTTTATCGCCGCTCTAACGAACGCATAAAAATAAAACACGAGGAATATGAAAATAAGACGCTTCGCTCAGTTATCGCGAAATCTAGAAAGTAGTGGCGGCAACCGCTCGTAAATCAGACTCGAAAACTTCCTTCAAAATTTAATTGTGCCGATAAATTTTCTATGGGATAATCCCGGCAGACCGGGTCGAATATGAAAATATTTAGAGCGGTACGTAAGAAAGGCGTATTTTTACCGGGATTAAACCCGAACGGAAGGTGTTTAATGGGAAAAGTCGGCAAGTTGGTCATTTGAAAGGGTTCGCTTTCGGCGAGCAATAATCTCGTTAATATCCGGTTATTTAGTGGAGCGCATTTATTAGTCATTGCGGTCGCGTCTGGGCGCGTGCTGCAAACTTCCCAAGAAGTGTGGAGAGATTTTAACAAGTTTAAACGGTCCAGCATGAAAGAAGATTAAATTTGCCCCATTAACCGCCTGAAAATTGACACCTGTCGTAAATTCACCTGAAAAGAAAACTCGAGTGTTATCTTGTTAACCCCAACAACCCCAAACGGTCCAATTAGGTGAGGGTAACGGAGCGGTAAAAGCAACGTGAGGGTTATGAATGGGAGCCACTTGTACCCAGGACCAATATCTTATAATAGTCCTGGATAAGGTGGCGGCCCGTTCGACGTTTTATGAATATTTAGTGTATTATCCTGCGGGGTGGTATCATTTTTTGGAGGAAATGGTCCTGCCGTTGTAGGTGCATCTCTGGGGTTATTACGAAGTAAAGCCGCGACTACACTCACCTATTGTCTGAAAAACGCTGGAACCGACGCATCCCTAAAAGTTTCTTTTGTGTGATGGGCTAACTAATTGCGGGGGAAAATTTATGGTGACATAGAATTATCTACCGGTTTAGCTCTAAAACGTGTTCTGGAGTAGCAGGAGCAGCGTATATGTCTGTCTCTATCGACAATATACGTTATAATACGTAAACCAGTTTGTCAAATTTAACACAAATGCTAACAATTGTAACTATGCTAAACTACAGAATTCTAGACCACGACATCTAGAAGATTGTCAAAACCATCGTTCAATTTGTATCCAATTGTTTTTTCTGCCACATAGTCGGTTAATGTCTTCATTATTAGTGTACTTAGGTCAATTCCTTCCACTTAGAAAACTCTAGACCCATCTTTTTTCCTTTTCATCCCAGTACAAAATACTTACCTTGTAGTTCTGCATTTACATTACTATCGTCTGTGAAGACCATAATTTTCTCCCCATATTTTGCGATTTTTACGACGCCATCATATATTATGTTACATGGGTCCTTATAAAGCATCTTGCGTTACCACACTATCAGTGTCATATTTTGTGCCTCCATCTACCGGCTTGTAGCTACCACGTCTGTAATTCTGACTCTATTCTGTTCCTTAATTAGCCTAAATAACGGTTTAAAACGCATAATGAAGTTTTATTCACTGCTGTCAATGTTAACGCACATATGTAGTATTCCATTGAGCTAACTTGTGCGTTTTGGATAATCTGCAACATTAATTCAAACACGTTATAATCCCCACGACACCGACAAATTTTCGCATATGGCCAACCCGTTTTCAAAATGGCGCTCTAAATTAACGATATTCTTAAGTTCATAAGTCTAAGTTGATACTTACAAAAACAAAATACTGATTCAGGTAGATAGATTAAAAAAAATGAAAAATTTGTCACAGATTGATTGTGAACAATTTAAAAGTTTTTTGTAACTTTCAAAATTATTTTGAATAGTGACAGTCCGATCGATTTTATATATCCAACAATAACACTGAATTAAAGTATGGTCAAATAATAAATTTGGTTACATTTTGGCCGAAAGAATTTTTAAATTTATTTTTGTTAAAAAAAAATGCCAAAGTTCCTCAAGGTTGTATCACATTCCCAAAGAAAACATTAGCTACTCTTAAGACTCTTCTTTCAAAAACAAAGCACCATGGACTAACTAGATTTCTTGAGAGTGTTTCAAAAAGCCAGGGGACCCCGAAAATTCTTTCACATTCTTAAGAAAATACAGAGTATCCACAAGTTCTTCCTCATTCTTTAAAAAAAAGACACCAGTAGCTTCTAGAATTTTATCACATTCTTAGAA